TGGAACCTACTTCAACTTCCATTGGTTTCAGGTCAATCACCTACATTCCCGGTGTGACTCAGAGAATAAAAAAATTAATGCTCAATAAAATAAATCCTAGTAAAGACCTTAAAGAAGATATTGAACTCTACATTGTTTATCTGCAGGTCGATCTACAAACATCATATTACAATTAATTAAGGTTTTTAGTCGCGATAAAAAAGTCACTGGCACGAGCGGGATTCGAACCCACGATCTTCGGCTTGATACGTCGCTACTCCACCACTTGAGCTATCGTGACCTCGATCCGCCCGGACATTAACTTCCTATCTCAACCCCACCTTTTGAATTTTCCCGCCATTTTATATTATAATATTGTTTATTTGTAGTAATTATAATCTTAATAATTTATGTTCAGTATTGAGACTAAAAGATGAAATACTAGCAGTTAATCCAAACCGAATAATTGAAACAATCCGAAAGAAAGTTTTGATATAAAATATTTTAATTATCTGTTAAACTTTCTTATTAAATCTCGAAGACGATTCCAAGTCATTTCATGACGTCAAAAACTTTTCTCCTGAGGCGGAAAATGGGTCGGGCGAGATGACGGAACACAAAGACTGCCTTGTCGAGCGCCGGTGGAAGCCTACGTCGGAAAAGCCAATTCGCGTATAGGAGAAATTAATAAAGTCATCTTGGTGGAAATTGCTCCGGCTTTGAGGGAGGTGGCAGAACTGTGAAGGTGAACTACTACACCGAGCTAAAAGGACCGGGGATGAGGGACTCCATTACGCCGACGGGCCTGCTACAGTAATTATGATACAGCAGAGGAGAAGAAATCCGAGGAAACTTCTGTCTTAGAGAATATATGTTTGACAATGGAAACACTGCCAAACGTGACAAACTTCAAATGGAACCCTCCGCCCTTTTCATCATATTATAATATATCTCGCAATTGCTTTTAAAAATAAATTTTTCCTTTTTTTTTCAACGATGTACACAAGAAGATTAAATGTTCATTCTGATCCATTGCTTGTTAAATTAAATTTAAAAAAAGAGCCTTTATCAGTGCGTTCAAGTACAATACTAGTATCAGTAATCGAAAAATTCACTATGATCAAAATCAAAAATTTTATGCACTGTGAATACATGTCCATATATGATAAACATGAGAAATAAGAATAATAGTCAATAGGCCGCAACGGTTTGGGCGCTCATCACCGTACCCCGTCCCGGGTTCGAATCCAGCGGCCCTGCATGGGGGGAGGCTTTTTTTCAAAAACANGGGATTCGAACCCACGATCTTCGGCTAGATACGCCGCTGCTCTACCACTTGAGCTATCGTGACCTCGATCCACTCGGACATCAACTTCCTATCTCAACTCCACGCTCGTGCCATTAACTTTTTTTCATCTCAACTAAAAACCTTAATTAATTGTAATTTCAAAATATTTACAACCAATATCTACTACCAGGATTTGAAATTTATGTAAAGTATACATTCTTTTAAAACTTTTAAGCACTAAAGTAACATAGGTAACAGCAAAATTTACAGCTTACTAAAATATAATTTTATGTGGTATTTGCTCAATTCCTGCAAATAACCGTGCTTATTTTCTATCAACTTGGCCTTGTGACAGTGTGGACAATTACAGAATTATCCTACTTAGAATGGTACCAAAAGGAAGAGAAATGGACTAACTCTAGAGGTGCAAGAAACCGTAAATATGTAATTAAAAAACCAAAACGATATACAGTGACTCACATATTTGTTCACATCAGTAAACAATTTTCAATTATCTTTAGTTTGCAAATCCCGTATTTTTTAATCCAGACAACATCAATAGGATTGAGTTCGTTGAACTGTTGGTAAACAAACATTCACCCTAATAATCTTTATTTATGTTTATACCTTTGAATTGAGCCAGTTTATTACGAATCTTCATGTGAACAGTTTTGTGACTAGGGTTACTTCATTGCAAATTTCGCAAAAACCATTGAATAATTCGTCTCAAATTTGTTATCAGATATCAGTTATTTTTCTTACATATTGAAAATATTTTCTTTCCTGAACGGTTATGATCTATTCCGTTTAATTACAGTAAGAAGCCATTTTCAACATTTTTGAAAGATCAAATAATAAAATCTTTTCAAGAAGGACTTCCTTATAGTTAAATTTAAAAAAATATATAAATTGTTATTATTGTGGTAATAACAAAACCTGAAAGATCTTCCGGAATTTACGACAGTTGTTTTAAAAAGAAGAGGAGTGGTCATAAAACAAAATTTTCCGAGACCAAAAGGCGTTCTATCTACGCGCTCCGTTCGTTCAGGATAGGTTGACAATGCTGTCCAAAATCAGCGTAGGCCGCGTGATAATGATAATATGGATGTCAGTGCCGAAACAAACGGAGATATTTGCTGAGGCCGGATTAAGAGCGACGGGAAGTGAAGAAACCACTGACCAAAGAGTGGCTTGCTGATCGTGGTTTTAATGCCATGGAATGGCCCCCACAGTCACCTAACCTTAATCCAATTGAGCACTTGTGGGGAAAACCAAAAAATCTTTAGCCGGTGCTGCAGGAGACGCTTCAAACTTCGATCAACTTTGGGAAAAAGCACAAGTTGAATGGGGCCTAATTGATCCAGAACAGTACAGAAATCTCGTGAGAAGTATGCCCAGAAGGACTGATGCAGTTTTGAAAGCCAAAGGAGGACATACAAAATATTAAAGGACTTTCTATGACACAATCATATTATCGTTTGCACACGGATAGATAGATAGATAACATGCTTTATTTACATTAAAGAGAAGCATTACATAATATACAATTTTTTTTTTTTTTGCTGGGGCTTATGACATTTCAGCCCCTTTCATCGTTCGAGGGGCGATGATGACGTTATATTCACCCTCACCCCTCGGCATTCACGCTAATAAATACATGCACACAGACAAAACATATAGACACATAACACATAAGACATACTATATACAATAAAAGAAACCAATTTCCCATAAAAAGCGGAACAGGGGACTATGAAACTCGCTACCGTGCTCGAGGACTCTTCTTAAATCCTACACGCTCTCTGTATGGAGCCAAGGCATGACACGCCTCTATTATGTGGGACACATCGAGCAACCTTTCTCTGCATAAGGGGCACCTGCGCGGGCAATATAAAATATTAAAAGCATTTTACAGCATGGATGATTATCCGTCTGCCGGAAGTTGGCTGTTCTTTTTCAGGCAAGCGAAAAATAAAACATAAAAATAAACTATATGATAATGTTAATAATAGAAAACTATAAGTAAAAACTAAATTATAAAAACAAGCTGATTTTAGATACAAGTTAAACAATTATGACTCGGTACTATAATCGTACCTATATTGCCAGGCATGACATGCATAGTGTGCTAGAACTTTCGACCTCTCCATATCGACGATATTTAACAGATCAAGCAGCTGAGACCTGGAAAGCGATTTATAGCCTAGATACAGGATACGGAGTTCAGACAGTATGGGACACTGGGCAACAAAATGAAAGATGTCTTCCCTAACTCTTAGGTTACAGAGCGTGCACAAGAAATTTCCGTCGTCTTCCTTCCATGGCACAGAATTGAGGAACACTTGCTCGCATCTGAGTTTAAGAAGCCATCGAAGAGTCGGAAGTTTTATAGACCCACTAGCTTGAACATTTAGGTTAAAGGTTTCCTTAGAGTGGTCTAGGGCCTTAAAGAGAAGATACCTGTTGGAGACCTGAGCTCGATGCTCACAACTCACACGATGTTGATCACGTAGTCTGCACAAAAGTTTCATGGTATAATTGGGCCAACTCGAGAGGTTTTCTAAACAAAAAGAAAAATCGCAACCATATTGAGAAGCTAAAGTATTCCATTGCCGAAACCAAGAACCATTAGATTTAATAACCTCGAGAGCAGTAATTTTGGAGATTCGGGCAACAGGGCCCTTAAGTACCCTTAAAACAAATGAAAAATGCAGGGAAAGCGTAAAAAGGAAAATTTTATCCACTGCCGTCTCCATATAAAGCATATAGTTTGGAGTAGAATTAGGCAGTGAGAAGATCTTCCTAATAAAAAAACGTTGCACTCTTTCTATCACTTCATAATCCTGGAACCCCCACACCTGGCCTGCATAACACAAAATAGAACGGCACACTGCATTAAATACCTTGTACTTAGAGTAAACCGGGATTAGATTCTGGGCCAAAAAGTAACACCATGTTCTATTCAAAGCAACCTTCGCCACTGAAGCTTTGGATTTTAGATGAGGGGTAAAAGAGAGTCTGGAAGTTAGGACAACTCCAAGATATTTATATTGGTTAATCACATCAACCCTCTAACGCTGGCAAAACCAACGCTCGGTCTTGGCAGGCCTGCCTCCTCTTCTAAACACCATTATCTTTGATTTAGCCAGGTTGACAGTGAGATTCCATTGATCACAGTATGATTCCAGGAGACTAATATTTTTCTGCAACCCAGTAATACTATCTGTTATCAAGACTACATCGTCAGCATTGTACCACTAACACGGACTCCAAAATCCAAGCTAGACGGGAGATTATTTTAATAATCATGATAAAGAAACAATTTAATTTTTTGGGTGTTTTTTGTAGTAAGATAAATAAAATTATCAAAAAATCTACGTTTATTTGATGTCCTACAATTGTTTTGTAAAGTAAATAATGATATAACCCAATTTGCATTCAGCTGTGAACGAATCTGCGAGTCACTGTGTAACCTAGAAAATCAAAAAGATTCTGGGAGCAGAATTGCAATGACAGTCAATGACCTAATACTTCTTAAAAGAAGGATCGAGTCGATTAAACTGAATTAATGAATTAAAAAAAGCACAATAAGCCAAAACTGCTGCAGTTTTTAGTGCCTGTAAAATGACAGTTTCAAGTAAGTCGGGAGGGTTCATAGTCATCGTCTTTACAGTCATACCAGCCGCCGATATGTTGTTTTACAGTGAGGAAATAAATAAAGATTTCTAAGAGATATATTAATAATTAAATGTATTCAGTGGTAACAAGGAACGTTTTTAACTATGGGTAAATTATCAGTAATGAACTAGAGGTCCATGGGCCACTCCGACTGGCGCATGAGCGACGGCGACTGGTGCGTGTGCGACAGCTCCTTCTTTGTGTACGACAGCGTTGAATCCGTTGACGGGGTCTGCTGTGTACTCGACGACCCTCCTGGAGCCGTCGGGTTCGACGAGGGAGTAGCTGCCCTGGACGACGTCTCCGTCACGTGTTTCGGTTTGACCTTTGGAGTCTCCGGTCAAGGCGTCGTTCACGCTGTAAGAGAAGCTGTACTGGGGATGCGGGTCGTACTCCTCGGCCCTAGCGACTGCGACTGGTGCGTGCGCTACTGCGACTGGAGCATGAGCGACTGCTACTGGTGCGTGGGCGACTGTATAGGGAAACGGCTGTCGGACCCCGGGGTAAAATTGGGCATGCGATCCCGCAATGACGGCCGCTAAGACTAAAATCACCTAGAAAACATAGTTTCAACATTTTTTTCAATGAATTAAACTTTATGTAAGGTATTGGTTGAGACAAAAAAAAGTCAGTCACGAGCGGGATTCGAACCCACGACCTTTTCTCCACCATTTGAGCTATCGTGACTTCGATCCACTTGGACACCAACCCCCATCACAATTCCCTCACCCTTCGAATTTTTCCTCATTTTTGCCATTTTTCAATCGGACCACGAACTCTAATGGATTTTTTATTCATTTGTCCTATGCAAAATTATTTGTTTTCAGTATAAAAATCTCTTAAAATTCAAATATTCTATCAATTATGTTGATATTTTAAATCATGTTTAATAAAAGATTTTACTTATACTTTACTTTATACTTAATTTGTAAAAGGTATAACGTTTACTTTTTGAATGATTATTTCGAAAGCATTTAACTGTAAACTGTTGAAAAACAGGCAAAAATTATCAGTGGTACCAACACCAAGGTTTAGAAATGATAAATGATGGAGTGAGTGTGGTGTTCAATACTTTTTTAAAAGGATAGTTCCTACTCACAGTAAGTTGTTTTGCAACGATCCGTATTTCGAGCCTTTTAGCTCATCATCAGGTTGAAAGACTTCTACAACCTGATGATGAGCTAAAAGGCTCGAAATTCGGATCGTTGCAAAACAACTTACTGTGAGTAGGAACTATCCTTTTAAAAAGTATTGAACACCAAGGTTTATGTTCAATTAAAAGTTAATAATGTGATAATAAAAAGACCGATAATTTTATTTGAAAAAAATATTTAAAAAGTGATATCTCAAGTCTAGAATATATGAAATAAGAGGAAAATCCGGTGAAGAAAGAATCTCGGAAAAAGTTGAAAGGAGTGACAAATTTAAAAATTCTTTTACCGACAAAAAGTTGTATAGGGGCAGAAAATGAGGGCAGAATAATGCCCTGGCAAACGATTCCCTTGATTTTAAACCCGATTCGAAATTACGATTGGAAAGTTATAGGAGGCGAGCGTGGGCCCGGAGGGCTGTTATCACAATCCAATTATGGTAATGCCTTTTGTTAGGAGGAACTGAATTGCAGTACATTCTTCTTACCAGATGAGCCATGCTTGAATTGTCAATCCGCACTGGATACTTGAAGAGGTCCCCGACTCGGTATTTATACAAAGCAGGTTGCAACAGAACGGGGTGGGAAGTAGTGGAAGCATGTGCTAATTTTTCGCCCAACCTTTTCTCAAGCCCCTCTACATACCGTGATCCTACTTAAGCCAATTGTCAGTTTACGTTTATTATGCAATCAATAATAATCTTCAAATATTATTACGGAACAACAGTTTATCAGTGTTGAAAGTCATGTAGGTTTTTTATATGAAATTAAATGAAAACCCTTATTATTTTTTGCTGGAAAATATTTCCTTATTGAGCTTTCATTCATAAAAGAAATGATGCGCATTCAAAGATCTCCTTATATTCTTTATTTAAGTAAGGTAAAGCTGTAGGTTCTTAAAGTTTAATCATTTTTAATCCATTTGTGACTTTTGAACTTGGGCAAACATTGCTGTTATTACATATTTAAATCTTAATATTTTGTCATTTCTCATGAGAAGTTAATTTTAATTTTATCGATTCTAAGGTTGACATTGTAAATAATGATCGACAAGATGCTATTAAGTTATGCTGCGGTATGTGGTCCAATGAATGTTATGTTATCGAAACTATGCCAAGCTTACGTTGTTTTGTTACGCCTAGGGCTCTACAACCGATATAAAAAATATAATTTTCGCTTATTCAATTATATAAGTGAAAATTAACAATTAAATTGTTTTCTATAGCCTAAAATTCTTAGTTAATATTTAAACGTTTTTTTCATCATCTATCAAACGATTTGTCTCTTCTTTTTAAATCTAAGTATAATGATTTTTAATAAAAGCAGTTTTTTATAATTTAATATACGATATTATTCAGGTATCGACCGACTTTGGTTAACTTTGGTTTGGGATACTCTTGTGTGTGGTCCAAAATGATTCATTCACTCTATTATACAGTTCCCGAGCTTTCTGATGAGTTAGCACGTTAATTTTGCCGGCATTGTATTCCTTTTACAGTATACTATCGCGTTTGTGTGATTGAGTTGTGTTTGTGTTGAGTTTCTGTTAATTTATTGCAATATGTCTAATTTATTAGCGTGAAACGATGGGGTTGTTTCGCCCGAGCAATATCGCGTATTCTGGGGTTAGTGTGTGACGTCTGGGCAATAAAAGCGAGTTATTAGAGAAAATGAAATAGGATCGCACAACAAGCCGAAGATCATTGAGTACTCTCGGGTAAGAGTGAGAGTCTAGACAGTAAAAGTGAGTTATAGCGAGAGTGAAGTGGTTTAAACCACGCCCCAAAGGAGATTGAGTACTCAGGATTAAATGTGTGATGTCTAGACAGAAAAAAGTGAGTTTAAAAAAAAGTGAAGTGGGTTAAACCACGTCCCGAGGAATGTTGAGTACTCAGGATTATGTGTGTGATGTCTAGACAGAAAAAGTGAGTTATAGAAAAAGTGAAGTGGGTTAAACCACGCTCTGAGGTATGTTGAGTACTCAGGATTAAGTGTGTGATGTCTAGACAGAAAAAGTGAGTTAAAAAAAAAGTGACGTGGGCTAAACCCCGCCCCGAGGAATGTTGTGTACTCACGATTATGTGATGTCTAGACAGTAACGTACACCAAGTATTCAGGATTAAGTGTGTGAAGTCTATATAGTAAAAGTGCGAGAATTTAGTGGACTAAACCAAGCCCTGAGGAATTTCGAATACTCTGGGGTAAAAGTCTGGACAGTAAAAGTGAGTTGTAGCGAGAATGAAGTGCGTTCAACGAAGCCCTGAGGAATGTCGAGTACTGTGGGATAAGTGTGTAAAATTTGGATCTTAAACGTGAGTTATTAGCAAGAAATGAGAGAGTTCAACCACGCCACGAAGGAAATCAAGTTCTATGGTTGAGTGAATATGACCAGAACTGTATGTTTCTTCCGGTGGTGATGTGCATGTTTTGTGTGTTTTGTAGTTGACCACCTGAGGTGCACACGAAACATTTGCATTTTATCATATCTCAATCAATATTAAGGCGAAGAATCAGTTACCAAAATGAGACGCTCAATTGGCTCCATTTGTGCAAAACACGAATGGAATGACAAAGAAGGAAAACACGAAAAATCGGCGATGACCTCTGCTGTTTGTCTGCCTATAAACTACATTATGTGTATATGTCACTACAATCATGTTTTACTTGTTGTAGAAAGGGCTTAATTTGCTTTAATTACATGAGACCATTGATCTTGTAAACTAAATGTATTTTGATTTGCGGGTAGTAAAGAATAACCAAAGTGGTATATCGAAAAAAGTTTTCAACAAAATTTTCACGACGTTTCCCCCTTGCTCCAAAATTGCTTGTCAAAAATAAACAATCTGAATGATGAAGGATGGCGCAGAGATGATTATAAACTAGCCGTTTTATTGAACTAGCGATCTTTGTAATTTTACATTTACACTTGATCGGATTGTTTTAAATATTTTTATTTGTTTAAACCGTGCCGTGGTATTTGGTTTAGATCCAAATTAATTATACTAGACTTTCCTTTCGTTGCCAAGTAAAAGAACACGATACACTCACTCCTCGGATACTGGCATTACTATAAATTACAAGTGCATAAAGTTATCCGCATATTAAAGCGCCTTGGCACACCACGTTTTCGTTATTTATGGTCCGAAGAAAACTGGTACGTTGTTTCTCGAACATTTTGCACTAAGAATATCAAACCGGATATTATACATCCGTGAATTCGTTAAATATATATTGCCTCACACCTCGTGTTTCCATTCCAACTCATGGAAAACAGCGCTGTCTTAAATAAGAAGAACAAAATCAAGAAAAATTTATTAAATACGAATACTAAATTTTCTTTCTCATCTATGATTAGGTGTAAATAATGTGTAAGTCTTTAAACCAAAAAACCAATAGGATCAGCCTAGAGATTTATTTTTTACTATTGCCTGTGCACTTTGAAATGTAACCCAGGACCTCTTCAAAACTGCTAGATGCTATAATCATATTCTACTATATAATGTGTGTAAGTGCTAATTGCACTTCATCAGTGTTACGTACCGATATTTTCGTTGTACCGCTTTTTGCCGTGAATATTTAACTGATATGTACAATCAGAATTTATATCACTAATAACTTATTTTATATAATACATTTTTGACTGGTTTATAAGTTAATTTGCAAATATCCTGATGTTCTGATAATGTGAGTGAGAGATGTATCATTGCAAATTTTTTTGGACATAACATCATCATTAGAACGTCACCAGATTTTGAATGAATCTTACATCTTTTCGAAATGAAAGATAATAATTTTTTAAAGGAATGATTTGAAAGAGCCGAGCGTCCCTCTTCGGCGGACTTGGAAACCACGTTGACATTTAGCTGACATCTCTAACATTTTGAATTTATCAAGATGACAACAGGGAGCGCTCTACCCACGAGTTCAAATGCGAATTTATGAAATGGTTAATTTGTCTTTTAGTTTGCAATCCGTTTGCCGTCCCAAAATGTTCGTCTAGAAAAGATTTTGATAACTTTGGCGGGGGAGGATCGAATATATTTATATGACGAGACGTTTCGATTTTATTAGTTAATATATGTGCAAATGGATTTAACTGTTTAAAATATCAACTCGATGTAGGTAGATAATTTCCGTAAGCAGAAAAGCTACATTTACATGTTAAGACTTAACTAGGGGATACAACAATATTTCGGAAATTAGAACAGGTAAATTGACAGTTTCTGTACCGAATCCGTGCAATAATCAATCAAGTTGTACTATTGCCACTCTTGTTATTGTTGTTGGATGATGACCTTTCTGGAAATCTAGGGTAGCGTAAGTTGTGCGGATGATCTACTGGTCATGTGGCAAAAGGATGAAACTGTTTCGTCTCAATTCAATGTGCTCTCAAATTACTAGAAAGATGGTGTGATAATACGGGTATAATACCAAACGATAATATATCATTAAAATAACATTCACAAAAAGAAGGAATTTTGATTTAAAAGCACCTTCTTAAAAATATAACTTTCGCCGGGGAAAATATCTAAGAATAACACTAAGCAGGCTCAGCTTTCCTCGTATGTACCGACTTTCTGAGCGCTGTTTGGACTTGACGTGACAGGTTCTCTGTCGAACTGTAGTGCTCCTGTCAGACCTATGACGACGACGGGTGGTACAATGGTTAAGGTTCGGGGCCCAAGAAAGGTGTACCTCGTGTCCTCATCCAAGTCCCTTTCTCACTCCAGGTTCCTTCAATGTTTCCTGTGATCCCTTCCAATCTTTGGTTACAAGGGGGGGGGTGTCCGGGCGCAAAATAATGGTGCAGCCCTGAGGGCTTGGCAACCTCTCTAAAGCACTGTACTCGTGTCGGCCTCGGGTCGGCATGGGCGCGGGTGCCTTTTCAGAGGCACACGAGGGTTAGGGTACGAGATCCTTTCTGCATAGACGGGGGAGGGTGCATAGCCATCCGTACTACGGGGTAAGAAACGTTCCAAGGTTCAGACCCTGTTACAATAGGAATGGACTCGTAGTTGGCCGTGGCGAGACCATAGGCGGGTACTAAGAGAAGAGGCTGTCTTCTATCTGTGACCTACGCATGAAACTTGTTATACACCCGGCTTCGCGGGATACGGCGGATGGGACGGCAGTGTATAAGCGTTGAGGACGCTATGGTTATGCTGAAAAGTCCCTCGAATGCATGAGTAGCGGCGGACGGGAACGGGTAGTGAATCGGTTGCTCCTACTCGAGTATGCTTTACACGTAGGTGTAGGCTGAGCTCGATTGGAGGCTTTTACCGTAGGCGGTACTCCTCTAGTGGGTGGTTAGCAATTCCACTTTAAACAATCATCTGCGGATCCAGTAGTTTTTACGCTAAAGAAGCCCCAATACTCTAGGAGATAGAGTGGCCTTCTCTATCTATGGAGTGCGCGGGAGACCAGGCTAATGCAATTCGGCTTAAGTAGCCCTTACCGCGCGGCATACGATCTGATGTGTAATGCAGACCCGACCACTCGGAGTAGACGGGGAGCGAGATTGTCTTGGGTCTTCGGGGCTGAGCTGTCTCTACAACAATGCTGCGGCAGAACACCATTCTGTCGTATGTGGAG